CCGTCAAGCACTGAGTGAGGGTGGGTATATAAATGAGATACAATAAACATATTGAATAGGTTTGGCCGAGGTGGAGAAACACTGCTTTAGACAGCCTTGTCCTCCAGCCCAATTCCTTTAAAGGGACCTTTCTCCTTTTTTTAACCTGTTTTTTGCATTTCTCCTTCAGAAGTTCCACATACCTTACCAGGAGAAGCTTTAACTGTTTCATCTCCTTCAGGTGGAAGCAAGGAGCTGGAATCACCAGATTCTTCACTTCTATTACCTTTAAAGGACAGAATTTTTTTTTTTTTAGAAGGAAGGAAGGAAAAAAGAAAATACATTATTGGGACAAAGCTGCCTTATGAAATTGCTGTTCGAAAAAAAGGAGACAAGTGAACTTGCCTTGTTCTTCTATGAGGAAAGAATCAAAGGAGTCTTCTATTAGCCTGAACATGTTTACTCACACATGACCTGCGTGAGCAACAAAATAAAGCAGCCACTTTGACGATTTTATCAAATCATCTTTCTGAATGGTCCCTGGCATCAAAAATCCCAGCAATGTGCAAGTCAGCAAAGGAGAAACAGATTTAAGTTTGTTTCTCCAACTCATTCTCCATTTTTATTTTTCTTTGCAGCAAGGGTCTTCCAACCTAGAAAATTCAAACTCCCTTTCATAATCTCAAGGGACACGCTTGCTCTCCTCCAGCTTCACAGCCAGACATATTCCCACTAACTGGTGCAAATACAGCGTTAAGCTTTGGCTTCTTAACCAAGGCTTATAAAATAATGCTTTATTTATAATATTGGCTCACCTAGCACAACACCTGAAACCAAAAAACTTAAGTTTTATAAATTGCCAGCAACAAGGCTCACACATTGTGCTAAGGCAAAGCAGAACAAACCAGAACGAAGCTTAATGTGAACTGAAGACAGCCACTGTCCTTTGAGGAACACCATCTTGACTTTTTTGATCCCCTGCCCCACTATGGATACCCCTGCTTTAATTCTTAGCATTTCCTTACCCAACAAATGGATAATTCCGTTATTGTTCTGTTTAACGTCTTTATAGATCTCTTCCTGGTCAACATCCAAGGTAACCCTCTCTCCATCCAGGGAACTCTTGGTTCTCACCTCCTGCGATGGGTCCTAAATAAGAGAGGAGAATCCAATTCAGGATCAAACCAGGATAATTAAGCCGAAGCACTAAAAATTCTACGTACCGAGCACCAACACCTTCTCTACAGGTAGTCCTTGGTGAACGACCAGAGACCGTTCAAAGTTGCGACAGTGCTGAACAAGTGGTACTTACGACTGGTCCTCAAAGTTCCAGCCGTCACAGTATCCCCATGGTCACGTGATCATGATCAAGAGGGTTGGCAATGGGCTCACACTTATGATGGTTGCAGTGCCCCGCGGTCACGTGATCGCCATTTGCAACCTTCCCTGCCAGCTTCCCATAAGCCAAGTCAATGGGGAAGCCAGCAGGGATGGTTGCAAGTCGCTCCCACTTTTTCTCCTGAGGAGCCATTACAGCGTACTCTATTGCACATGTTTGCACCACAGCACCCCCTCCCCGGCCTGCACACATTGCAGTGCACACCCCTACCTCACTCCATAGTACTCACCCACCCTCCAGCTTGCAACTTCCAGCCAGCTTCCCCACTGATTTTGCTTGTGGGAAGCAAGCAGGAAGTTGTAAGTCACAGTCACGTGAGGTCCTCGCCTAACAACCCATAATTTTCACTTAATGATGGCAATGGATACTGCTGGGATTGCTATCGCTAAGCAATGCGGTCACGTGACATCACGCTGTACGACCGCATTGCTTGGCGACAGAAATTCCAGTCCCGATTACTGTCATGAAGCAAGGACTACCTGTACTAAAGTTTAATTTTGCCTAACTCTTTACACTCCTGTCCTGCAAGGGGGTTCAAACATTATATACCTGCCACTTCCCTACCTTGGCCTCTTGCCGGTTCAACAGGAAGTCCTCCACCAGGGCCACCGCCTGGGAACACGTGTCAGGCCCTCCTGCTCGGATCCAGCTCTGGAGGTCCGGTGGGAGGCTGGCCAGGAACTGCTCCAGGATCAGCAGCTCCAGGATCTGCTCCTTGGTGCGCCTCTCTGGCTTCAGCCACTGGCGGCAAAGCCTCTGCAGTTGTCCGTAAACCCTCCGCGGGTCTTCAATCTCCTGGAAGCGGAACTGCCGAAAGTGCTGGCGTTGCACTTCTATCCTGATAGCTTCCCCTCTCAAGATGGCCGCCTTCACTTTCCCATAATCCTCCTTGTCTCCTGCTTCTAGGCCGCTGAAGGCCTGCTTAGCTTCTCCACTCAGGGCTGGCAGGAGCCGAGGCACCCACTCTCCCCTTGGCCACTGGCAAGCTTGGGCCACTTGCTCAAAAGAGGCCAGGAAAGCCTTGGGGTCTTCCCAAGGTGCATTTTCCACCATCTCAGAGTCCTCCTCCCATCCCACATGTGGACACGGCAGGGTCTTAAGAAATTCCTGCCACTGGCTTTTCCACTGCTGCTGCATCCCTCTGAAGGACTCCTGTTTGATTCCTTGCGAGAGCTTCCACCCTAGATGCTCCATCCTTGTGCACTTGGAAAGGCCGGCACCGCAGGATTTCCTTACACGTTCCAGACCTTCTTCTCCTTCTGGACCTCTAGGTTTTGGCTCCATTTCTCCCCGAGCTGTCAAACAACTATTTGGAGCTGGATAACTCATTAAACACACCAGACTTTGATTAAGCTAACTGCAGGGGAAGCCTTTCCCACTTCCTTCATATTCTTGTTCCCATTCGAAACACAAGACACATTTACTCCTCTTGGCTGGAACAGTCTCACTGCCAGAGAGGAAGTTCAGGCCAGGGGCTGGTTAGCTCACAGGTGGAAGCTGAAGCTGTGAAGACCCTTCAGGTGTTCTGACCATATCGGACTCCCCGATTTGCAAAGGGAGCTCCTTCCTAAACAAACACAAACAAAGCAAAGGAAAAGTGTGCGTTACACAAAAAACGAGAAAAAGAGAAGCGTCTTTGTGGACCGTTTCGAGGGGGATAACCATACTAATTTATTCTAGCAAAGCACACACACACACAGAACCCAGAAGTTTGTGGCACTTTAAAGATTAAAAAATTCAAAGGATTAAGTTTTCCCCGAATGCAGTTATGTTAACTTCGACGTATCAGGGGAATCTCTGAAGGAGTCTGGGAGCACCTTTCCCGACTAAGACATTTTATTAAAAGGTAGAAGCTTTTGAAGAGAGGGAACGTTGGGGGAGTTGTGCAAACGCAGGTTACACACACAAGACAGATTACAAGTACCTTATCAATTAACACCAGGCTTTTAAAATTTATTTTTATCAATTAACAATTGCAATGCATGAAAAACCGATTGTGTCTGTGGACCTGAAACCTCTTGACGTACGCAAGTTCAGCAACCTCTCCCTCGATAGCGCTGTTAAATTCCCATTTTTCCACTTTAAGGCCTGCCACAGAGTGTCGTGGGAGACTGAAATGCTCCAATATTACGTGGTCCTTGTTTGAAATCCTGATGTCAAATCTGTCCATTAATTATTTTGTGAAAAGTTTGTCCCGTTTGTCTTATGTAGAATCCAGAGGGGCATTGCTGGCAGACATGGGCATTAGAGGAAGAGCACGTGAAGGGAATTTCTACAGTTCAGAGTAAAATTTTCTGCATCTGATGAGCTACATTCCACCCCCCACCCCCAAAATGTAGAATTTATTATTCTCTAAAATGCCACAAGACTCCTGTTATGTCTTAGGCTAACTCAAAGCGCACAACACAATTTTTAAGCTTACAAGCATAGAAGAATTCTTCCTCCGGCAAGATTTCCTATCAAGAGAAAAACCTATACACAGTACAGCAAGCGCTAATTCGATATACTAAATATTTTAATACGGATTATAATTTTTTCTCGGATGCACAATTTTTGCTCTTCTGCTGCTTCTGCTAGCCATCGCCACTTTTCTATAGCTGCCGTTCCCCTACCTTTAAGGATAGGTCAAAGCCAACAGCTGGTGGACTTCACAGATGGAAGCAGCATCATTTCATGACAGCCTCTGCAGATAACAGCAGGCCAGCCCATTCTCTTTCAATTAGGGCCAGGACATTAGTGCAATCTGTGGTTGCTGAAAGTTGTTTTCAGGCCCCTTTGTTATAGCATTCTTAACTGTATTTTGTGCCGTTTCATACCGTTTATTAATATTAATAAATTAATGTATAATTACCCTACTTTGGACACCTTATGCAAGGAACCAGCTCTCTGGAGAAGGCTCTGATGTTGGGAAAGGTGGAAGGAAAGAAAAGAAGAGGATGACCAGTAGCAAGAGGGGTGGACTTAGTTAGGGGGCAATAAGGGCACCATTGGAAGAGCCGAAGGACCAGGTTGGGGACAGGAGATCATGGAGAGAATCTCTCTATGGCAGTGTTTCTGAACCTTGGCAGCTTGAAGATGTGTGGACTTCAACTCCCAGAATTCCCCAGCCAGCATGGCT